GAGACGCCTCGAGGCTTGCGGCACCGTTCGCCCAGACGTTGGCTTCAAAGGAAACCGGTCCGTACATGCTGTGGCACAGTCCCAACGCCTCATCAAAGACCAACATGGAGTCTGCAGAACAAACTACACGCCATGGGCGGGTGCCACATCGATACGACTGTCGTATGGCTCTTGGCCATCTCATTCGCTTCCACTCTCTGCACAGCACAGACAGGACTGACTGACTGAGCTCCAAGAACATCCCAGCTGCCATGTGCAGCCGTGTCAGGGCCGTGCTCCACGTGGTAGCAGACTGCTGTTCATTCCCTATCCCGTGTCGCGTGAAACCCGGTCGCAGCAGGATCAACAACGTCGCGCCACCTGGCTGGCATGCTGCCACTTGCTCATTGCTTCACACCATGTCAACATTGCTTCTACGGCAGCACGGAACCTTTCTCGGTGAGCACGGCCACATGGCGCCTCGCTGGATAATGTAGCTCCCCGTCTGAGGACAGCATAGCCCTACCCAAAAAGGGACAGGCGCTCGATTATCAATGCGAATAGGTGATGGACAGGGAGCGGCCGCTAACAGCTGTGGCCCAGGAACGCGAACTCTGCTCTATTCACCCCTGCACAGGTAGCGTGCTGCGCTGCTTTCGGCGATCATCGAATGCCCGCGGACCCAGTGCTAAATGTCAGGGCTGGCCCACCTGCATGTCCGTTTCGGCAATTCAGAAGTCAATTGGGTGGTCCCCTTGTTCCCGACTATCTATCATTGCCATAACAAGGCGCCCGACTCCACCCAACTAGCCTTCGGGCCATATTTGATATTTCCATCCTCCACCTTGACCCGTTGTCCGGGGTAATCTGACGGAAGGTTTCTCTAGCGCTAAGAACCGCCTTTGCCCTCGCGGCAGCGCATGGTGTCAACTATCTAACCTCCTCCATCCATTGCGACATTCATTAAAGGGACCCTGGCATCTCCTCCGTACTTCTGGAACGACCCGTGGATCGAAACGCCTGAAAGCTGTTCACTGGATACATCCGAGTCACAAGATCCCCTTGTTTTGCCACAGGAATCGGACACTGCCTACTTACCGACCATGGTGCTTGCATGAACTAAGAAACGCCTACCTATCTGCCTCATTACGAGCCAATTCATTCCTATCAAGAACGCAACATCCGACAACATGGCCGACACACTCTCTGGACTGGAACTCCTTGCGCCCAGAGAGCAAGACAGCTCAATTCCCAACAACATGGGTACGTAATACACACGCCCATGTCATTCGAATCACACTGACCCTGCATACCCGCCCCAGACCCACTCACGCCTGTCTACAAGGCTGGCCTGATTCCTATAGCCGTATTTGCCATGATGAGCTTGGTATCAGTAACCGCCCTACTTGCATTCATCACCCAGCGAATGGTGTCTTGGCGGAAACACTACAGGCAGTATGTCGGATACAACCAATATGTCATTCTCATCTACAACCTACTTCTTGCGGATCTTCAGCAATCGGCTGCTTTTGCCATATCCTTCCATTGGTTAAAGCTTAACAAGATTGTCGCTCCTACTGGGGCGTGCTTTGTCCAAGCCTGGTTCCTCCACATCGGCGATGTTTCAAGTGGCTTTTTCGTCCTTGCCATCGCTATTCACACCTGGCTAGGTGTGGTCAAAGGATACAAAATGCCATTCAAGTGGTTCGTCATATCGATTTTGTTGATTTGGTCTTTTGCACTGTTTCTCACAATGCTGGGACCAGCAATGCATCAAGAGCGATACTTTGCTCGCGCTGCAGGATGGGTAAGTCTTCTTTGAGTGCCAGACTTGGAAACGGTGGAACTGACTGGCAATAGTGTTGGGTGTCACACGAATATCAAGACGAACGCCTCTGGCTACATTATCTCTGGATCTTCATTGTCGAGTTTGGCACCATCATCATCTATGCGCACCTGTTTTTCCATCTGCGTGGCCGCATCCAGAGCATCATGGCAAACGATACCAGCAAGCTGTCACGAGCAACCAAGTTCATGGTCATGTATCCCGCCGTCTACGTCATCCTGACTCTGCCTATTGCTGTAGGACGTATGGTCGCCATGACGGGTCAGCCTATGCCAGACCTCTTCTTCGTCGTCTCGGGCTGCCTCCTCACATCATGCGGGTGGATCGATGCACTTTTGTACGCCCTAACAAGACGGGTATTGGTATCTGGAGACTTGAGCACCGGCCAATACAACAGGACCGCCACTATAACACTTACCAACAACGTGCGCCCAGGCGATACCGAGCGCTACGGTCTCCAATCTATGAACTCCAAGGAGCCTTCCGCCACCTCATGCACCATCACAATCACAGGTGGAAACGGCAGGCTATCGAGCATAGTCGAGCACCACCGCACACGCAGCTACATGACACGATCACGCCATGATGCCACCGACTACGATGACGAGAATGTCACGCGAACAGGATCGCAAGATTCCATCATGAAGCCATTGCAATCACCAAATGGAATCAATATCATGACGGAAACCAGTGTGCAAGTGGAGCCTGCAATCGACAGAGAATTGGAATTGGGACGTACACCACCGAAAGAATGGAGCGACGTCCACATTCACCCATGATGATATTGGTATGAATTTCAAATGTTCAAAGGAGGTCATCTGGTATACCAAAAAGTTTGCGGTGGGTGTTTGCTTGCGACCAGTGATGTACTGGCGTGGATCCTATTAACCTACGTATCTTGTTTATTTCTCTGTTTCATTTCCCTTTCTAAGCAAACACCTGTATCGTATACAATATCTACCAAGAGGTAGGAAACCCCATGTACCATAGAATCTAAATACCTTTGTTCAAATATACACATGAACACTTCAAACTCGATATCCTTCATCCGAGTATGCATAATCACCGGCACTTCACGAAAGTCAAAATCAACCCATCATCAAAAGAAAGGGGCCAACACATCTCACCCCATCACCGCTCACAACCCCCGCAAAGGCAAAAAATTACGCACGTGGAATCGGCATGGTGCATGTTCAGCATCTCACGCACAGTCGATCCCTACAGCCCTACTATTACCGCGACCTTCCCCGCCCCACACCCCCCGATTTCCCACGCCCTAACCTACCGTATACCGCCCTGCCACGACCGATCGGCCCAGCTTACACGAGAAATACCACCGATCGCCCCAGCTTACTCAAATCAACCACCGAGTAGTAACATCGACAAAAAGATCACCGACCACCGACGACCACCGACGACTTCCCCGACCAAAAATACCTACTGAGTAGTACGACTTACGACCGATCGTCTAGCTTACACCAGTCAATCCCCCCCCCCCCCGAATTCTCATCCGCACATCACGAAACCCTAATCCTCACTCCCTCCCCCCGTTTCCCCATGGGGCAACTCTACAGTCCAACAATTCAAAAAGGGGCAAGTAACGACCGAACAAGGGAAAAAAGTCCTCCGTAGAACCACACACGCACATACCGTATTTCCTCGCCATTTTCTAAATAAAAAAAATGAAGCGAGAATCTATACTGAGTCAGCGTAGTAAGGTAGGTAGCGTGTGAGAATGTTGCTCGTGCGCGCGGTTTAGTAGTTCCGCGGCGAGGGGAGATTTCCGCGGTAAGATGTGTGTTTGTGTATGTATCTGTGTGAATGCTCTCCGCGGACGACAATCGACATGTTCAAGACAAATTACTCAGTTGGGTAAATGACAGAAAGAGAAAAAAAATAAACAAACGGGATAATGCCCTTGCTACCAATTTTTCTCTATGTAAGTATTCGTCTTATACGCAGACGTATGTCTCTTTCTTCCACCCCCCCCCCCCTCCCATCCTTTTCTTCGTCGTTTTTTTCGTATCGCAATCAAGCCTACCCTATCCTCACCCTTACTCTACACAGTAACCAAGAAGAAACACGACGGTCAATATGGAAAATCCCGAAAATTACCTAGTACCAACCTATTTTTCCCTCTTTCGCCATACATCTTACTCATCCATTTCCCCCCCCCCTCCAACCCAATATCAAAATTAGCAAAGTAAATGGTGCTACCCACATCTCTCACACCTCTCTCTCTCTCTTTTTTTTTCCCTCTTTTTTTTCTTAAAAACACAGACACACACACACACACACAGACACACACAAAACTCTCCCATATCGATATTTATAACCATCAACGCAAAGCAAAACACCCAAACCCCATCCAAAGCACACACTGAAACCCGTGTTTTACGAAACCAGTAAAACCCACATCCCCCTTTTAGCTTTCCTCCCCCCCCAACCCCCTCTCTTTCTCTTTCTTGTTTTTTTTCCTTTGCGGCGTTTTATCTTTCCTCCTTTCCTCCGTTTTCTCTTTTTGGTCTTGCGACTTGCTTTTTTCAGGCTAGAGGGACGGGGAGGGGGGGGGGGAAGAAAAGGGAAAGAAAAAGTGGCGTGATTTGTGGCTGCGGTCGAGATCGCGATGGGGTGGAGATGGGGAGTGGGGTGTGTTGGTGTAAAGGGGGGAGGGATTAGTCAGGTCGGTGTGGATTGGGGGCTGGAATTGGAGGTGTTGTTTTTTTTCTGGGTGGAGGGGGGTGGGTTTGTGGTGAGTTTGCGGTGGTTTGAGATATAAGCATGTGATAGGTATGGTACATAGTAGGAGCTTGAATTGAAGAGGAAAAGGGAATGGCAGGTGGTGAGGTCGCGCATATGACGAGGAGATGGAGTTATCTTGATGTTGTTACTTATTTATTGACAGGGTATCGTTATGTGAGATTTGAGATATACATGATACAGTACTATTTCCATGACATCCATATAGCTAATCCAGATACATTCCCCGGCTATTTTCGACGTTCCTTCTCCTTTTTTTCATGTCTAGCAAGCGAGCTAACAACATGGATCGATTCTTTCAGGGGTTTCAAAAGGCTGAACGCGGTCGTGGCAAGATGTGGCTTTCCTTGTGAGTCTTTACTCCTGAATAAGCCAAAAGCTGTGACTTTTGAGATACAAGGCTCCACGGATCACATCATCGCCGTCGAGTCTCCCTACCCACCATCATCATCCTCCTCGTAGGTAACTGGACACCCGATCTCAGTCTCTCGAGAGCCTCCGGCGGTGTCGTATCATCAAGATTATAACCCCTAGGCCGACTTTGATTCGTACCAGCAAATCCCGAGTCCAGATCTTCTCCTTTGTCCAGTTCAATGTTGGATGGGACATCTCCATCACGCTCTCGTGCGCCCGCCTCTGTTCCACGAAATTCACGACGAGGCGGAGAACGAGCAGTGACTTGCGCGAGTTTTTGCTCTAGAAGCCAGGTCTTACGTTTATATCGCAGAAGCTCTTCTTTTTGCTCGAGTGCTCGTTCTCTTGCTTCGATAACCGCGAGTTTTGCGTCGGTCGAGGGGTCAGGTGAGTCGTGTGTTTGCTTTCCATGTATTTTGTCTTGGTTTGATTTGATACTTTGAGCTTGCATGGTCTGGAGTAGCTGCTGCTGCAACTGTATGATTTCCTGCTCTCTCTTTGATATTTGAGCTTCTCGACGCTCAAGGTCGAGATCTCGGGGGTTCCTTCGTGGTGGCAGCGTCGACTTCCCCAGGCGCCCAGATGGTGTTCGCTCTCTCGAAGACGGTACGCTCAACTGGTGCGGTTGCTTCACGGGTGACTTCAATGGTTGATACCCGCTTTCATCAAGTCTCCTGGCTTCCTGATTCCGTGCCCGCCTCTTAGCAGTTATTTGCGGTTTCAATATCTCAGGTTTATTCGATAGGCGCAGACCGTTCCCCAGACGCACATTAGGTTGTAGAATACCGCCAACCAGTGTGCCTCGAAAGGTCTCCAACGCCTGACTATTCTGTAGGCGGTATTCGTACCTCAACTGCGGAGCATCACTGAAGCGGGCCGAAACTGGGTGGCTCCCCGTAGGATCAAGGCTTAATTCGACGTTTTCAAACGGTGGATCAACGACAGATACTCTTTGTCCTTCTTGAGCATTGCGAGCTAGGATACGAAGCGTATTGTTGCGTATTTGGATACCGTCCTTGCTGAAGGGCTCCAGTCAGCGCATTCGCCTTGTAACAAACACAGCCGTACCCGCCCGACTTACTTGATGACGACGAAGCGCTTCATATCCGAATTCTTGGCCCGCACCTGCTGCATCCTTGGCGTAGGGCCATTGACAAAGTGCGCAGCAATTTTCATGCGCGACTCGAAGACATTGTGGGCGCACCATCCAAAGGGCAGGATGAAGACGGAGCCATCTTCAAAGTAGGCCCAGCCCGAAGGACGCTTGGATTGGGCGCGCGAGTACAGATTGCCAAGATTCACAGAGTTACTTTGTGGCCTGACTAGGCCATAGGGTGGTACGATGCCCCAAGGCGGAATGCTGTACAGTTTGCCCAGGTTGACATAGTTACCGTATGCTCGTCGGAAGGCCATCGCTTGCTTGCATGCGCCCCTCCCCACGCCGCACGCTACTTGTTAATCTACGGTATTACTTACCGCAGACGGCACGCGCTTTCCGTGCAGCAAGAAGGGCCCGTATAGCGTATGTGATTCGTAGGCGGCAGGGCCATTGCAGTCTGCTGATATTGCGTGAGTAGGGCTATGGAACAGCGAAGCAGCACATCCTGGCCGACATTGCAGCAGACAAATTGTTGCGCACGAGCCCCATTTGACGGGAGTACCGACCCGCCACTACCCCTTCGTTGATCGACATATGTCTTAATTGCACTTCACATCATCTGTCCTCTGAACCAGACGAGCCTTGTGCACCTTTCTTCCAAGGTCTGGAATACCTGCACAAATGGCCACTTTCGCCCTCGCACGCCTCTTCATCGCCAACTTGGATGACATGGTGCTCTTGTCGCCACTACCACCACATGCATGACGCAAACATACGTAAAGACTAACATTTTCACATTCAGGGCCCTGTCCTAGAACACACAAACTCGCGGCTTCAGGCTACACGCACAAACGCCATTGGAGGCCTTGACTGGGAGGCCTGGCCCGTCCCGACATGCTCCCTATACTTAGTCGTCCCTTTCAACACCTCGACGCCTTGAACATCAAAACACTTTTCGCAGAGGAGCGACTTGAACACTGACCCGACAAACGACCCAATATCTCTTGGCCTAGTCCAGTGGGTTGCAGAGTGCGACTGAGTAACATGACCTCGCATTCCTGTTTTTCCTCTTCGACCAAGGTAGCCGCTCCGTCTGCCAAGAGACGTCTGATGAGAAGACGCATTGCAACGAGCGTGCCTGATAGTTATCTTCTCGGCAAGGCCCCCTGTCGTAGACCTCCGTCTCTGAATGCTTCGGTCGGTGCGCCACCTAGTTTGGGCATTTGGTGCTCAGGATGCGTCCACCTTATCCACGATGCTGTCTATCGCCATTGATCGAGTGGAGGGCGTAGTTGGCGTAGGTGGTGCTTGACCATCCGACTTGTTGGACGCGGACTGTTGCTGCGGCTGCGGCGACACCATCTGGGGCGGTGACAAGGATGCGTTGGGAGCGTCTTCCTCAGCTGGCTCATTTCCATCGTCCAATACCTCGTCCACCTCTCGTAGCCAATTTGCTTTTAGTACGTCCATGGGAGGGTCCAAGTCGCCAGGCTTACCGCCGCGTCGAGCTTCTGCTGCCGTCATTTTTCTCTCACCACGTTTATGGGGATGGAAATGCATGCGCCGGAGGTGGCTTGCGGCATTGTAGCATTCATTATATCGTTTTCCAGTCTGGCAGGCTTTGCAGTTTGCGAGGAATGACTTATCCGGCGAGGTGTCAATGGTCACCCAGACCTTGCGCACCTTCTTATGGACGCGGTTGGTATGGCGCCGCAGCTCATGCTCGCTGCGGAAGCCGTCGGGATAGTCGGAGCATACCGGACACTTGAGTCGCAATACTCTGCGAGACGGCGTCTTTGAGCTGGGTCCAAATGCAGGAGAAGTGCTGGGGGTGGTGTCAACGGCAGGAGCTGTCACGACGGTTTCCCTTGAGACTGGAGAGGGCTCTACTGCTTCGCTAGCGCTGGTAGTGGTAGTCGTTGTGGGAGTCTTTGGCGGCGCTCCTGCTTTCATTCTTGCCCGGGTTCTTGATGGCGGCATATACTTTGTTGTTGATGATGATATGCTAGGGGATTCAGACGGCTGGGAGACTGCGGAACCGTCCTGTTCCGTCCCAAAAGCGAGCAAGGTGGGAGCTGGGCTGGAATGCTTGGTGGGGCGGGCGCCGTAGGTCTAACGGCAGCTAAATCGGACAGGATTAGGCAGTCTGCAGTGTCGAGTGAACAGCTGGGGTGCTCGCGACGTGCCTCCAAGACGGCCTTGGACAACGCGGGGGCCAGGCAACAAGATATCCCGATTTTTGCTGGGCCCAGCGGAGTGCGCGCACAAGGCTGGAATGGCGCAGTCAGCCTCGTTTCCCTTCATGAGTGGGTGAACCTTGAGCTGCAAGCCACGCCATAAGCGGCAAGCTGGCGAGCCGGGAGCTTATTGGACATGGCCTTCAGGTTGAACGACATGCCTTGGTAGAGGGCGAATCAACCCGGCCTGCCGCGTACAACTCGACCGGTTTCCAGGCCAGTCGGTCGAGATAATAAAAAAAGAAATGAGGGAATGCCGTCCAAACCTTGCTCGGATCATGCCGGGTATCGCAGCGAACGGCGAGTCCAAGAGTCGCAAAGGGTTGCGGGCACAGGCTTGCTTGCTTGGTTGCTTACCGGGGCAGAGGGCAGGCTGGCTGTGGTCGCTAGCCCGGTCATGCTTTTCCTATTTGGATGCGCTCCTGGCCTTGAGCCGAATTTCACGAGACAAAGCTATACAGTACCTGCACTCTACTGTATACACACATGCTCCTCTTCCTCCTCCTGCCATGGTTTTATGGCATGGTGGCCGTGGCCGCCCCAACACCAGACGCACTGTCACTGTGACGGCACTGCGCCCATGGAGGAGGGGTGCTTCTGACATGGCGACCATCAGCACCCGGCCCTGTTTTGACTCGCCCGTTTACTCTTCAGCCTTGCCGCGTCCGAGTAGTGGAACAGTCCGCCTCTCTGCCAGCCTAAGCGGAGCCGGGGGCAGCGGCGAATCAGCGGCCGGAGGGGTCTGGTTTGTTTTACGCAGACGTGCCGATCCACGATCCAATGCGTCCCATCACCAAGCCTCCACTCCAGCTGGGAAAACACTGGCCTGCACGCCCGCGACGCACCTCGTCCCTGCAACCTCACGCTTGCGTGGCCCCTCTGAGACGCCGCCTGTTGTGCTGGCTGTGTGCTGCCATGGCTTACCCGCCTGGCTGATGAGAGAGATAGCCGTCCTGGTGGAGCGTAATCTGGGTATACGAAGACAAGGCTGATGGGCTAGCCCGCTCATTGATCTCCCGCCTCGCATGCGCCTGGCTCGTTCGCCGTCATTCTGGACTTGGTTACGGAGAATGGGAAATGGGCGTACAGGTAAGACCGGTTGGCTAGCTGATCCGAGGCTGACGTCCACCTGCCACGAAACCTTATTTCACCGTCTCGACCCATAGCACACCACACCACCCACCCAGGCATGCGGTACCATATTGGCTCCCTACCAGACAACGCTGATCGCGAGGCACCGATCGTGTCTTTGCAAACGGTTGCTCCCATCGAAACCTTCTTGGCCTCTTGTCCTCGTCGGCCCAGCACTACCAGCGACATTCATCTGACAATCCTATGGCGCCTTCGCAGTGCGACCCTGACAGGCTCAGCTCGCGACATGTCAGCCTTTTCCCCGCCCCGTGCTCCACACGCCGTGGCCGGGCCAAAGGTGCGAGAAGACGCTTATCAATTGGTAAGCTCTTCTGTAGCTGGTACTTGACCGGACCCAGTGTTTCATGTCTGAAGGATTCTCACTCGACACCGATAAAAAGGCCATTCAACCGTGACCCTCGCAGAGGCGTCGAGACCTCGCTACAGACCTAGTACTGTGGTATCTGGTTACTCACCCATCATGTGAAAGCGGGTGGTTGGGGACAAGGGTCTATTTTTGCGTCCATGTGAAGTTTATCTGCACCAAATTTCCACTCAGTATTATGCCGTGTTGATTGTCGGCTCACCCAAGCAGTCAGTAGATGTACTTTTGCTCAGCCTCAGCCTCCGTCTCACTGTCAGGCTACGAAAGCGAGAGCCAAGCAGCCCTCAACACGGTGTGAGATGCACCATGGCGATCCACGCCGATACCGGAATACAGTGCAGCAGTCTCGTTGTCTTGAAGGACATGAGCTGAGCGTGCGACAAGTGTCCTGGGGCGGGTCTAGCTTGCTGTGGTTGGGAGATTGAAATTGAAACACAAGGGTTCATTGGGGGCCCTGGCTGTCAATCGTTAGCACCGGGTAGGCCCGTCGAAGCTCGATCAAAGCTCTCGAACGCAAAGGTGTGCTCCTCACACCACTCTCCTGTGCAAGATAGTCGCATGTTTTTTTTCATCAGGTGTACCTGATCTGCACTGTGGTATTTTCAGGTTGACCATGCTTTTGACAAAGCCCATTGCCCTCTCTGTATTTGAGGCTCGGAATGGGACAGAGTGGGTTTGCGCAAGTATTTAGCCATTATGAATGTAACCTGGCCAATACGCTTTGACGCAGACGGTGATTTTTTGATAACTAAATGTGCCATCCAATAGCTATGGAGCCGTTGGAACAATGTTGACTCGCCAGGGATAAGTAAGTACTTTGCCTCGGTTTCTGTTGGAAATGACCAATGCGTGGTTTCATAGTGTGCAGGTGCAGGACTTGGGTGTTGGCCGATGAAGCATGGCAGCTACGGGACATTTGACGTAGACTTGCTGGTGGGTCGAGTATTGATGCCGTAGCACTGGGTCGCCAATGCACATGCAATCCAGCATCTTGTTCTCGTTCTACACAGGAGACACGAAAGCGATGGGGTGTTTGATCTGATGCTTGGTTTTGGTGGAAGCAGCCTGCTAGAGCTAGGGTCTGCAGTCAGCATCGCAGCGACACGGTGACGTCAACAATCGTGTGGCTGACGAAAAGTGTAAATTGCAGCAAAAGTTTGCGCGATGCCATTTAACAACAGCAGGACCGGACAAGAGAAAGCATGGTGGAATAGGGCTTGAGCAGCCATGGACCCACCCGCGGACGATGGGGGTGGACGACAGGGGGCAACAAGCGACGGTACGGGTACTATGAATTCCAGCGTAATTACAGGACAGGACGTCGTCGTCTTCGGCCACGAGGATTGCGTCGTCCCAACCCACCCCACATGTGACATGGTGTGCGCTCCACTTGCTGCGTAGGATTTACAACTGCATCGCCAGTCGCCCATATCGACTGCCCGCCAAACAAGCATCACACCGGCCGTCTCTGCGCCGCGCAGCCGTCGTCATCGCCATGCACTCGCCCCCTGGCCGCCCCAGGTGACCCGACCGAAGCCGAAGCCGCAACCCCACGACATGTCGGCGCCGTCTAGCCATGGCCGTCCTTCTGGAGACTCGGACCGCTGGACGGCTTCGTCAAACACTTACATTGCCAGCAATGCGGGCGCGAATACTGACAATGGCGAGGGAAGCTCCTCGCCACGGCGGAGCCAGGATTCACGACCCAGCAACGGTGCACTACATGGCCTGGGAATAGCCATGACGAGCGGCGACAACGACGACTCTGCTCAGCGCAAGCAGCGCCCACGACGAAGTGGCGGCTTTCTCCTCGACTCGACCTTTCCTAGCGGCCCTCGACAGCGCCATGGCCACCGCGATGCTCATGGTGCTGACGACTCGAAAGGCAAGCGCAACTCGCGACACCAGGCAACACACGAGAACAAGCGAAGTTCCATGATGGGCGCATCTCGAGAACACCACGGCGACGACATGAACACGGACAGGACTAGGCGGGCCATACACCAGATGCCGTCTGTAAGCCACGACAGAGACCCTTCGCCCCGGACAGAGCCAGCGCGGCAGGCCATCGACCCCACCCACCTCGTACACATGGCTCTTAACCTCAGCGAGAGCCGGCGCAGAAACGTCAGTACTGGCCAGCTTCTTGCATCTCAGCCGCGCGCTGCATCGGGGTCGCAACGTGAAGGTAGCTTTGCCAACTATGCTGCTGGCGGCAGTCTAAGACACTACCTCAACGAGCAACGACGAGTCTCGAGGAACATATCTCCGATGGGTGGTAGAGGCTCCCCGTCACGGCACATGTCTACGTCCATGCAGGGGAGTGGTTCGATGGCGTTTCCAGGCTCACAGTCTATCCATCCATCTGCTTCTACACTTGCGCGAGTAAACAAGGCTAAGGCATATATCGAGCTTCAAATGGAGTATATGCGCCTACTGGATTTCCTCCCACCTCTAAAGCCTGACGCCTGTGCTCCAGGCAACTTCATCTTCACGTCAAGCAGCTCCCCAGGAAGTCCCCAAGCGCATCTCACCCGTACGCCATCGCATGCTGGCAAACAACACGATCTCGGCCGGGCCTACAACCCCCTACAGTTCATCCGTAATCGCCGTATCAGAGCTCGCGAGCGTGTAGTTTTGGATCATCCCCCAGAAGAGTTTGAGGACGTTGAGCAGGTGCGCCATTGGGTTGACCAGATCGAGCAGCAAGCCAAAAGTGTTGGTTACCGTCGAAATGATGCCGTGCACTTGCCCAAGATTCACCAAGATCATGAAGTCGCCGCTCCACCCACCAAGCCTCCAAGGCCGCACAAGGGCTGGTTCTTCACCCCAGAAGAACTGCTTGCGGATGCGCACTGGCTAGAGCAGGGCGACAACAAGACACTTGTGGAAAACCGGCGTGGCCAAAAAATATTTCCCCCCAAGGAGGCACAGCCTAGAGATTCCCTCCAAACGCGTGCTAGCAAAGAATTCGGCGACAAGCGAGGAAAGAGCTGGGCTGATGCATTGCCTGCAATTGCACTTGATCATACAACGGGTGATGAAAGTGACAAAGCAAGTGAGCGCGGACGTAAGCGAAGATTGCTTCCAGCACTTCGCACAGATAGCCCCAGGGGCGGGAAGCACTCCAGAAGAGGTTCAAGGTTACGGAACCATGACGAGCCTGATAGCTCTGGGTCAGAGTCTGACACAAAGAGGCGCAAGACCCGTGTGGCTACGGACCCAGAACACAACACCGGACCGCTTGCTCTGCTTTTGGAGCAGCAGGCCAAAGAGCTCCAAGCCAAATCACCGTTGGCTATGTCGCCCAACACACCCGACAAGTGGGGTCGTAACGGAGATGTCGCAATGGATGAGAAGCCCACTCGGGACTCACTAGATGTCCCACGGTTTTCAAACGGTTTTTCGTATCTCAAGGATCACGGCAACTTCAAGATTTCGCCTACGCCACGCAAACCTCTGAATTTGTCTAGTGACGATGCCGAGCCACGGTCTTCACATGAGCAGCAAGACAGTACTGCTCCAAACACACCCCTTACCAAACGATTTCCATACATTGGCAGCGAAGCCTCGCCACCACAAAGCCGATCCAATTCGCAGACGAGAAAACCTAAGCGACACAAGTTTAACAACATTTTCCACTCGCACGACCACAGTGAGGAAAGCCAGCATGAGGGACGGCCAGGCTCCTCTGGCACAGACAGGAAGGGGAAATCTCATCAGAATAGTGGAGAGGCTGCAGATGACAAACATATTGGAACAGCAATACTGGCCGCGCCAGGTGCTGTAATGAACCTCCTGGGTCATCGGAAGAACGACAGTGTCAGTAGTTTGCCCAGCCCAGACAAGCTACGTCGCAGAGAGGCCCAGGAGTCACAGTCTGCTGTTACACGATTCTTCAAGGGCGTCAAGCATGAGGGCACAAAAGTTGGAGATATCATCTTCAGACGTGATCGAGCGGACGATTCTGATTCGGACATCATGTCTGACAGCAACTCGGTAGAGTTTGACGATGACAATGGCTCTGCTCAAGCTAAACAGAGCAAACGACCATCGATGGCCCGTACAAATACAGGGGGCACGGAGGGTAGCAGAACTTCTTTCCAAAAGGACCGTAGCCGTCTCGACCTTCCATCGTTCCGCCCTGTTCACGCCATTGATAATGAAGATTCTGACGAAGAACATCACATTTCACGTCAGACTCGAGACCGGAAGGGCAGCCGTTCCCCTCGTATTGATCGACTTTTGCCCCCACGTATGGATTTAAGCACAATATCCGATCGTTCTTCTCAGGGCTCTGTCACTCTCGGCCCAAATAACAGTCAAGAACAACTTGAAGAATCGCTTGCCCACCATAGTGATACAGGCGGCCTCCCTGCTGCTGGCCTGAGGAATGCGCAGGACAGGAAAGCCAGTGGTTCGAGACCAGGACTGAGTGGAAGACATTGGAGCATTGCCGACGGCGATGATCAAGCCGTTGACCGTAAGACTAATGCAGACATCATCGCACAAGCAGACATTGCTCGTGTTCGCGCATTGTTCCTCTGCTCTGGTGTCAAAGCAAACGAAATCGTGCGCCGCGCCCACGCTACACGAAACCCACCTGCTGATTTCCTCGTACGCGCAGCTGATTTGACAAATACGAAACTGTATCCCGTTCCGCGCACACAAGAACACGTTTTGGCTGCACGCATATTGGTCAAAGATCTCGAGGCTTCTACTAAAGCTTTGCAATCAACTCTCGAAACCTTCCGTAACAAGGCTATTCAACAGCTGACGAGGCAAATATCTACTTTGCAATCGACTGTGGATTCAGATCTTATGCCTCGTATCTTGGAAGGCGGCGACAAAGCCGTGCGTGTCACGAGCGAAGTATCTGGCCAGGGATCACTCCAAGTCAAGCAAATCACCGACGAGATTGACCGCATGATCAGAGCACGGAAGCGCCGAATGAGATGGATGCGGGGCTTTGGCTGGATGCTGGTAGAGTGGGCGCTCGTCGGCCTCATGTGGTGCCTGTGGCTCACCGTT